GATTAAATGAATGTGGTAGACATGAAAACAATTCGGAACTGACAGTTTTTTTTTCTGTAGACGCTGAGGATAGTTACCTTAGGATAATATTGGTAGAATAGTTGACCAGAAGTGCTCGTGACAACGCCGATGTGTGTTCAAGATCACATTTGTGTAAAAAAAAACGCCAGAAAAAGACACCAAAACTTAATCGAGCGAATTAATGCGCTTGGTGCAACTGAACTGCACTTTCCAACCAACAAATAACGAACTTGTGATCAAATTGTGAACAAAATACCAGGAACGCAACTGCGATTACCATAAATAACAACTTAAATAGTTTGATTTGCAAATGCTGCTTAATGGATAACTGCTAGAGCAGTTAAAGTGCATTTTACTGTTATCTTACGTGTGCTATTCACTTTGCTTTGAACTCAATTGACTGTTCCTGCTGGCCAACTGAGGTACATGAGTACCAAGTAGTTGCTTTTTGAGATAAAAATGTGCTACCAGAAACTTAATTCTGGATAGGATTTAGTAAACAAATTACACACGGAACAATCTAGAGCGTTACACACGACTTGCGATGTGTCAATTGCCGGTGCTTCACAGAGTCTGTGCATTGCCAAGGTATGAAGACATTGTTTGTAACGTTTTGTAAATCATTTTATTGGATCTCCAGTTGTGTAAGTTAGAAAACAAAAAAAAGGAACTTAAATTTGGTTCACGTTAGCTTAATTCCTTTTAATGCAAGTAACGCCGACAGTGATTGAACACAATAAGCTCGTTGATGATGGGTCCCATGAGAACCAAAACAGGAATATCAGCAACCAGAAACTATTGCCCGCATTCTGTAAATATACGCTGCGACGTCTTAATTAGTAATTTATTATAGACAAAATTTATATTTCTTTATTTTTCGAGTTTTCAATTTCAAACAATAGTTGCTGCGCTTGGAAGGGAAACTGGTAATCTTATCTTCTATTAGTATCAAAATAAGATTTTCACAAATATGGGTTTTGACTTTCGAGTGGAAACATGGAGAAAACCGAGCACGTTTCATACAAGTATGTGCGCTTTTGTGCGCGATAGATCAATGTCACATATTTTGATTCCAATAATTGGCTCAAAAATAAATTTAAATCTAAAACCCATTCCACATTGAAATTTAGTGTACTGCCAAAAATATACATGCGTAACAAGGGCAATGACGATTTTCATCGCAAGCCCAAATTGTTCAATTGGGCTGGCTTTAGTAGCAGTAACTAACGAGTAACTAAATATAGGCAGGTTTTTATTATTTTGTGTATAATGACTCAACAGTTCGATAAAAGCGGCAACAGTTAAAGTTAGTGCAGATCACGCTGATGAACGTTGAATAAAAAATGTGAAATCCTTTGAAGATTTTTGTTTCGCTAAACAAGCGGAGCATCATCTACCTGAAATGACATGAACAGATACGTCGACCACGGTTGAATATTCCAACCCGAAGAACTTGACCTTATGAAACAAGTAAAGAACAACTTGGAGCTCACAGTGAAATAAAATAAAACGGACAACTATTTACCAGATTGTTCCAATCCCGGTGGTCTAGAATGGAACTTATTCGGTGCAACATTTAAAGGCTTGTGTCATTCTGTAATAGTTCAGTTTAATGAATTATTGTATCATTATTAAATAATCTTCCGGGCTGATCGTACAGAACTGCTAACTGGTACTGGGTTTCGAATTGATAACATTTATGCATCAAGGAAAACGTGGTTTTACCTTCATACAGCACACTGAAAAGACAGTTTTTGCAACGTAAACTGATAAATCACTCATGGAAAGGATGCAAAACTGGCTTTATTAGGTGATTCGTTGTTGCATCAAATCCGCTTGTATGAAACAAATTGTTTTAGTGAAACGAAGGCAACAATGGAAGTGGCTAAGCACTACTGGTTTTCCCGAATAAAAGCTGATGTGGATTTCTATAAAAATTAAAAGTTTAAGAAGGAAAAGAACAAGTATTTCATTAGGTGAGTTTGCAGGTCAAAAGCGATCGCTATAAGAAAATATGTACTCATTGAATAAAACAAATATTTCATTGGGATGTGAATCAATATGTTTTCTCTATCCGCATTCAAGAAATCTAGACATCCCCATGTCCGACGCATCTGATTCTGTTCCTAAGAGAAAACTGAACTTTCATTTGTCAAAATAAAATAAAATAAAAGAATCAAACTTAGGATCGACATGGGTTGTTAAAGTCTTCCCTGAAATCTTTTTTTAAGTGCACAAAGTTTAGCATCATGATTTTGATGAAAATCAAAACAGAAACATGTACAACAGGCTGATTGTTAAACCAAGTTTCTTTCTCACTAAAATCAAGTGCCATATTTTGCAAGATATTTTCGAAATTTATGCACAGTAGCATCCAGTACTGGTATTTCATTGGAATACATCAGCTGGGGTTGGAGAAATTCAAACTCAAAACCTCTTTTACTGTACTGACTGATTGTAAACTGGTATTGGATGAGTATTTGCTTTCCTAAAACTTGGAAAACAAAAAATGGTAAATGTTTGTTGAAGCTGGATGCAACGTGCACTTAAATGCAAGCAAAATGTTCAAATATATAAAAACATACATTAGTCATGTTCACCAAAATTACTTAAATGGAACTGGCACCTACCACAAACCAGATAGGTCTCGCTTAGACTCAATCCGCCTAATGGCAACCCGCATAAGATATTCAAACTTGTTATTGCTACACTGAAGGATCCAAAACAGCACAAATAATAATCCAAGTAAAATTTGTAAACCATAGAATAACGTAAACACAGCTCACAATTTACTGCTTCTAACCATAAGTTGCCACAACGGAATGAAACGTTTCCAAGTGTGAGCTTGTTTGAACGGAATCACTTGAATAATCCCAAGAGATTCGTTGAGCTTATCAGGAAAACTCTGCAAAACATTGGCCAAATCAAGAAGTACAATAAGAAATCTAGTGAAACCAACCCAAATCAAACATCAAAATACTGTGGTGGGGGAGGGCTAAGATGCGATTGGTCACTTTTTAGAATTGGAAAGAATCACAACAAATAAATGGCTCGAGACAGTTTGAAAGAAACCTAAACTACAACGCATAACAGGCGGACGGACATATGACGTTTTTACTGGCTGCTATGATATGTTCAATTGAGCTTAGCTGACGTGCAGTCGATCAAATTGTGCGCTCCCGGTTTAATCGGAATCTCTCTGTGAAATATCGTCGCACATCGTCGAGTCTACGTTCATTCGATCCAATTCTGTGAGCTCTCTCTTGTGATATCATTCCAATGGCAGTAAATCGCTCATATCTCTCCATTGAGCAGTTTTTCTGTTATCATCGAAGCTTTGGAATTTACTCACACGTGCAAAATTGTGCAATTTTATTCGCTGTGTCAACATTAAGATATCGCTCGATAGGAAATTCAACAACCTTTACAACGATCCCTGAGTGAGCTTTCTAAGTTCCACTTCAAGCATTCTACGGATATATTTATACAGTTCAGTGCAATCATTGCTGTCACTTGCAGTCGCACTTGTGTCTGTTCCACTGCGGCCAGTAAAGCCGATCGATATTCTCAAAGTGACCTTTTTCATTGTTCTGTGTTCTTGTGACCACTGATCCGGACGAGCGGGTGACCGAGACAACTTCTCTCGCTTCACGTGACCTTTATTTCGTCAGTCTCGCCGCTCGCTAAATTGCAAAAATGGGACATCGCATAGTGTCAACAGGTGCCGCACCAAGTGTTTCGACGGCATCGGAATTATGCGGCCTACGGAGTTGTAAGAAAGAAGGTAAAACGGGGATATTTTGCACACACTGCCTAAAACACTTTCACCTTTCATGTGCCAAACACTTGATAAAACAGGCATAACAGTTAGCCACTCAGTCAGAACGTATACGGTTCTGTACAGAATGTGTGGAAATCCCGATCGTTATCACATACAAGTACGAGAAGCTATTGTCAGGAGCCGAAGAAAGAGCGAATTCAAAAATCGCCACACTTGAGGCAAAAATAGTAGATTTAAGTTCACGGATTACACCAGCTAACCCGATCTGGAAACCCAGGAAACGACCAAAATGCCCAACACAAGTGGTCACCCCAAGGCAGAGGACGCACACGGCTGAACGGAGCGCGACGACAAAAACAACAGTAGAAGCACCTGCTAACTCGGAACCCACACACCCAGTGGCATCCCTTATCTGCTTCTTCAAAGATAACAGCTCTGCCTGCCAGCTCGCCACTGCAAAAAACTCTCTAACCCCTATAACGCCGGCCACTGTTGTGAAAGTTCCCCTTCCTATGCAGATGTCATTTCCACTTCAATTAGAAAAGCAGCTCCTGCAGCTGCACCTCAGCAGAACCACCCGAAAAAAGGGCAGGGATATCGTCTGATGCATCGCCCTCACTGACAGACTCGACTCCCTCGTCCACGACACCCAGACATAGTGCGTGTAACATGTCACGGACAGTTGAGAGGTGCCCTCGCGATTCGCAGGAACCTATGTAGCAGAGGAAGCTCCCTGCGAGATCTCCGTGCCTTACTGTTGTCAATTATCCGGAGGCCAAGGCCATCACTGCCCAGGCTCGCCTGCACCACGACCTGCAGCACATGGTTACCTTGTTTGATG